GAATACAGGTCCAAACCCCTTGGATCTTAAAACAAGGAGAAATTAACCATCCCCCCTCCTTTCTCCCACCAAGTCCTGGTGGATCAAGATCCAACCCCCTTGGATCTAAAAACAAGGAAAAATCAATCAGGTTCTTAAAAAGAAGGCTTTTAATTAAAGAAAAAGGTAAAAATCATCTCTGTAAAATCAGGATGGGAAATAGCTTTACAGGGTAATCAAACTTAAAGAGCTCAGAGGAACCCCCTCTAGCCTTAGGTTCAAAGTTACAGCAAACCGAGGTAAACACCCTAGTAAAAGGTACATTTACAAGTTGAGAAAACAAAGATAAAACTAACACGCCTTGCCTGGCTGTACTTACAAGTTTGAAATATGAGAGACTTGTTCAGAAAGATTTGGAGAACATGGATTGATGTCTGGTCCCTCTTAGTCCCAAGAGCGAACAACCACCAAAACAAAGAGCACAAACAAAAACCTTCCCCCCACCAAGATTTTAAAGCATCTTGTCCCCTTATTGGTCCTTTGGGTCAGGTGTCAGCCAGGTTACCTGAGCTTCTTAACCCTTTACAGGTAAAAGGATTTTGGAGTCTCTGGCCAGGAGGGATTTTATAGTATTGTACACATGAGGGCTGTTACCCTTCCCTTTATAGTTATGACAGAGGGTCTTGTCCAAGACTGCGGCTTCCACCCTGGCCCTTATGTGGCTCACCTGTGTGAGCAGCAATGGCCCCCCCCGGCCCTCCCATGATGGCAGAGTAGTGCAGGAAAGTTACCCTTAATGGGGCAAGAAACAAAGCAGCTCTGCCAAAGAACCTGCGGCAGCGGATTATCCTGTATCTCCATGAGAGTTTCATGGAGATCTCTGGCGCAGATTCCCATGAAGTGAGGGAGTCAATCATCAACCTGTTCCGCCGCTGAGACTGGGCATGTGGTGGTATGCACATCATACAGACACAAGCCTGCTTTTTGCAACCCTCCTGCCCCCAACAACTCGCTTCAGTGATTCCCAAAATCAAAGCCACTTACCAGGGGCCTCCTCTCCTGTTTGTGCTTCACCAAACTCTGAGAGCTGTGACTGGCTAGCCTCCTCCAGGGTAGAGAAGAACTCCTGGCTGCATGCATCTCTGACCTCCAACTCATCCTCTGCCTCTGGGTCTCCCTCCGCCTCCACATCCTCATCCAAGATTTCCCCCTACTGACTCGGTCCACTGTCAACTGGCACATGAGCCACCCAAGTATCCACAGTGGCCTTCGTAATGGAGGTGGGGTCATCACCGAGTATCGCATCCAGCTCTTTGTAGAACTGGGAGCTGGTGGGTGCAGCACCGGAGCAGCGGTTTGCCTCCCATGCCATGGAGTAGGCGTTCCACAGCTCCTTCACTTTGACCCTGCATTGCAGCGTGTCCTGGTCATGGCCCCTTTCTCTCATGCATCGTGAAATCTGTCTATATGTATCATAATTTCTGTGGCTGGAGCACAGCTGGGACTGGACAGTTTAGCCTGTTTTGAATTAGGCTTTACAGAGTTTATAAAAGGACCTTTGGGGGTATGACAGGAAGCTTACACTGAGACAGGTATAGTTAAAGATTTATTTAGAATTACAAAATTATAATTGTATCACAGTTATTCAAGATATATATATATATGGCAATACATGCTTATGTGCTGCAAAGCTTTGGTTAATGTTTTAATGTTTTAATGACCTGGTGTTGAAAGATATAGGATCACACCTTTGGTGGTGCCTCTGACAGGGGAAACTAATGTCACACCTCTGGCAGAGGAAGCTAATGCAAAAGCTGTTAAAGCTGTTTACTTTCTAACTTCCATATATCTATGCAAATAAGCATATTAATCCTTAGAGCTACAACAGCCTCCTCTCCCCAAATGCTAATGAGGTCCAACATTTAAACATTGCTTCAAGCAGGGGATCGCCTGGTGCGTGGAGCAGGCATGGTCACCTGGAAAGATACACTGAGACCACTGCATGCATCACCAAGCAAACAGGAAGGGGACTTTAAAAATTCCCAAGGAATTTAATGGTTGGTCACCTGAGGGCAGTGCAGTAGAGTTCAAACCGATGACCAGAGAGGCGAGAACAGGGATTGCGGGACACCCCCCGGAGGCCAATCACAGCGCTGTAATCGACCAGGGTGTCTACACTGGCACCGCGGCACTATAGCCCCGGCGCAGGAAGCTGTACACCTCTCGTCGGGGTGGTTTCTTTACAGCGCTGCAACTGCTCAGTTTCTGCGCAGTAAGTGGCTTGGCAGTGTGTACACCTCAGGAGTTACAGTGCAGAAAGCTGCTTTACTGCGCAGAAACTTGCCAGTGTAGACCAGGCGCTAGATGGCTTACAGAAGAGCGCAAGACTGGTCATACTGGGTCAGACCAATGGTCCATCTAGCCCAGCATGCTGCCTGAGAGTGACCAGTGCCAGATGTGTCAGAGGGGATGAGCAGAACAGGCTTGTTGACCTGCAAGGTGAAGGTCTGTCACCCTTACCTTTAACTTTATTGTTGTGGATTCCTGCTTACCCTATCTTACCACACCTCCCCCAAGGTCTCTGGGCAAATCAGGTGTGAACCACTCCTTTCATACAAATGTGTCCCAATCCAGCTGAATTGAGGCAGACTTTGGGCCAATGTGCGTTTGGAAAAGGTCCGCTTAACCCAGCAGGTTTCTCAAAGTATCTGTTGCTGTGAACTGCATGTAGTGTGGATGTGTGAACCCCAAAGATATCAAACATGAAAGAAACACAAGGCCAGTTTTGGGGAGTTTCCAGAGCCAGGCCTGAGGGTTAAACAGCTGTGCTCAAAAAGAAAAGGGGCCTCAGCACCTATAAAAATAACTGGTTGCAAAATTTAAATTAAATTAAAAAACCAAACACCAACCCAGAAAAGCTACTATCACACATCAATCACCATTTTAGATTTTGACATCTCCTGCCTGATGTGACATCTTTGCTTTGCAAACAAGAGACCTGGAGAACTCTGTGGTTGTTACCCTCTAACTGGGTAAAAGGTTCCACATCTTGTCTCCTGCAATTTTCCTCTTAAGGGAAGATTTATTTTAAAACTTATCATAATAAATTCCATTTTACCATCTATACTGGGTCTCTATTCTCACACATGCTATTTCTGTCACATATTCCTCCACTAACTCCTTTGGAGTGAGGTTTTAATTTCAGGATTAGCCACCATTTCCTATGTAGTAGGAGGGGACTAGAAGAAACCTGAATTATATTGTAACACTGAAAGTTATTACATGATCAGCCTCTTCCGTTACACTAAATAACTTCATGTTTAACTTAATGGTCGCTGGTAACAACTTATTCAAAGATTACAAAATATAAACCTATAGGGCAGTTTTCCCTTGATTTTCACACTTTCTAATCTTTCAAAGTAGCAGCAGGAGGAGAAGTGATACAAATGCATTAATTTTAATAAGAAAAACGAAGAGACCAAACCACAGATACTGGCTACCATTATTTGCCGAGCATGGAATGTTTCTGAAGGAATCAGCTGTTTCTCTCTGTGCTTCATGAAACTTTGGATCCAAATGGTAAAAGACAGTCGTGCCCAATTTAATCATGGCATCCTTTAGGAGTGTGACCAATGCCACTTAACAAGGGAGGAGTGTTCTAAAAATAGTTACCTTGGCAACAGGTCACCATAGCTTCTATCTCTGGGGTATCTTTGGGGTGAAAAATCAACCACCAGTACCTGCAATTTCTACCTGAGTTCCTGTCAAATCTTTGACCTTACTTGGAGTAATTTTACACTTCTCTAGCGTAGAATTCTTCACCAACCACACAACATATCAGTAGCGATAGTGAGGTATAACTCCCCCAAATATGCCCTTTTATTTCTTTAATCTGGTGGCACAGATTTAAATTAGGACCTAAATTCAGGTACGGCTTAGAATCCATGTAAGACACAAAATGTCAGGTATCTATTAAAAATAGATATCTTTCTGCAGCTATATCACATTCAATATGGATTTCATTTTCTACACATTTGCAGTTTCTCCCAGGGGAGAGTTGAACAGAAATGTCACTTCCATTTTTCCCATCTCTACCTAGATAGGGATTGCCTTTCCCAAATAATAGGCAACATGCAGCTGACTAGGAAGGCGATATCTTCAGGAGTGACCTCCTGCAGGGCCTGGGCCACAACTGCTTTGGAAGCCCAATGCATGGGCATTTTGCTTAGTTCCAAGTCATTTACTAGGGAATCCTCTTCCCAGCCCTTTAGAAAAAATATTGTCCTAACCAATTGAACAACAGGGGGATTGGGATGGTGATGGGGAATAAGGAAATCCCTCTGACTTACCCGATCTTCTTCTTTTGTTACAGAGGGTGAAATGACATTTTTCGCTATCCCTGCCCTGTTCCTGCTCTTTGTTATAGTTTAATATATTTTAAGTGAGGAAAACAGTAGTAAAAATATCTGCTCTCCAACACAACCTGAAGCAACATCAGAGCAAATGGGAATGAAACAATTTGTTCCCGAAGGGGGAACTTGATGACTAACAATTGCTTTGAAATGGGGGAACAGTATAACCGTGATGCTCAGGGTTTGTTTAGGTCAGGTCAAGGGGAAAGCTAATGCCAACCACTGCACCTGGGCTGCATCTGCTCTACAACTAGAATTTTCTTTTTACACCAAGATCACTAACTTGAGGAGCCAACGCCATGTGCAGTCCGAGTGGATGTAAGGTACAGGTAGTTTTTGCCGCAGTGTAGCTTGTTGGGATCAAACCTCTCTCTCCCACCTGGAGCTGATGAACATTACTGGCTGGAGGGACACACACTCCTACAACTCAAAAGTAGTTGATAGAAAAGATCACAAGACTGACCCCAAAGAAGGTAAGCTGCAAAAGGCAGAAGCAGGCAACTCATATGGTGGATCTGAGAGACCACAGTGAAGATGGTGCAAAAATCACTATGTGGGAATTAGCAAATGTGATTTAAAAGCCAGCCCTAGTCAGGGGATTTATTACACTTCTCTCTCATGTGGATTTTCTGATGTCTAATAAGGCTTGAGCTATCACTGAAGCTTTTCCCACACACAGAGCATGTGTAGGGCTTCTCTCCTGTGTGGATTCTACGATGTGTGATAAAGTTTGAGCTCTGATTGAAGCTTTTCCCGCACTCAGAGCATGTGTAGGGCGTCTCTCCTGTGTGGATTCTCTGATGTGTGAACAGGGCAGAGCTGTGACTGAAGCTTTTCCCACACTCAGAGCATGTGTAGGGCTTCTCCCCTGTGTGGATTCTCTGATGAGTGATAAGGTGTGAGCTACAACTGAAGCTTTTCCCGCACTCAGAGCATGTGTAGGGCTTCTCCCCTGTGTGCATTTTCTGATGTCTGATAAGGTGTGAGCTACAACTGAAGCTTTTCCCGCACTCAGAGCATGTGTAGGGCGTCTCTCCTGTGTGGATTCTACGATGTGTGATAAGGTTTGAGCTCTGATTGAAGCTTTTCCCACACTCAGAGCATGTGTAGGGCTTCTCCCCTGTGTGGATTCTCTGATGTGTGATAAGGGTAGAGCTGTGATTGAAGCTTTTCCCACACTCAGAGCATGTGTAGGGCGTCTCTCCTGTGTGGATTCTACGATGTGTGATAAGGTGTGAGCTCCGACTGAAGCTTTTTCCGCACTCAGAGCATGTGTGGGGCATCTCTCCTGTATGGATTCGCTGATGTGAGATGAGGGTTGAACTATCGATGATGCGTTTCCCACACTCAGAGCGTCCATAAGGTTTCTCGCCCATGTGGATTCTCCTATGTGCAACAAGATCTGAGCTCCAACTGAAGCTTTTCCCACACTCGGAGCATGTGTAGTGTCTCTCTTTCAAGTTGATTCTGTTGCTTGTTATTAGGTCTGAGTGGCTACTAAAGTTTTCCTCTGACCTCTCCTGAGTCTCACAGGCTTTTGCTTTTTCTCGGAGTGCACTACTCCCGGAAACATTCCCTTTGGATCTTCCTGATAACATTCCATGTGGTTCTACTTGCTCAGCATCTTCCTGATGGGGTTTCTCCTCCTCATTCTCACTCACCATCCCATCACCTGATGGGAGACAGAGAGAATCCAGACATAGGTCAGTCCCTGCGCCAGAAAGAAAGGACATCTCAGAGAGAGGAATGGAAAAAGGAATGAACAAACCAAAATATGTGTGGGAGAGATCAAACCTATCAGGTGCTGATTTTCCCCAAACCCTTCCCACAGACGAGAGAGGAAGGGATCAGTTTTGGTCCGCATCTCACCAGAACACTCAGGGGAAAGCGAGATCGGGGCGGGATCTGCTGCCAGTTGTCAGTCAGAATAGGAGGGATGCCATGAGTGACATCTGCCGTAATGATTCCACATCTGCAGGAAACAATCCTGAACTTGGAGAACTCACAGGGTCTTTGTAGGGCATCCCTAATGTTTCCTGCATTCCCAAACAGTTGTTGAGTTGATTTAACCAATTCCTCACCTGTGAAGGCAGCTCTTGGGAGCACTTCTTTCTCAGAGCCCTGGAGGTCCGGGACCCACGGCTCTTCACCTCGTTCCAGCTGCGAGATCACATCAGGTTTGGAAACTGGAAACCCTACTCCAGGGAAAGAAAAGAAGGGAGGTCAGAGGTCACAAAGAATATTCCATGGTTTTAACCCCAGATCATTTTAAAGCAGTAACATCCCAAGGCCATCTTCCTTGGCTCAAAGTGGCAGGAGAGTTATTATTATTATAAATCATATGCATTACCTTAGTGCCTGAGGACCCATTAACAGTGGGTACCCATTGTGCTAGGACAAGTACAAACCCAGAATAGTAGATGGCCCATGCCCTGAAGAATTTACAATCTAAATAGACAAGACAGACACAGAATGGGGGAAGGGGTAGAACCCACTGTTAGAATAGAGATATTCAGGCCTGCCTGTAAGGCCTGTACTTTAAGAACTTAGGTGTATTTTTATCACTTAGCTACTTACAGGGGTATAAAAACAAATTATCAAAATCACAGTCCGCCTGTGTCTGGGCCTTGTCTCATTAGGATAGTCTGAGGCCTTGTTCTCAGGCTAAGGCCTTTGGCGAAGCAGGAGGGACAGCCATAAGCTGGGAAGCGTAGGGTCACATCCTCATATCCCAAACCAATCACACTGAACTAAGGTGCTATTGGGCTATTAGGAAAACGGTCAATGTCCGGACAGCGTCCATCCCCACCAGATAAAGAAACAGATCTTAAGATGGTTAAAGAAAACTTAGTTTGATAGCATCCTGTCTGGCAATAAATCACTTATTAATGGTTGTGGTTGTGAAACCCTCATTTCCATATTGTTTTATCTTTATGGCCACAACTTTTACCTTGTTAATCAGTCTGGTTCTCTAATTGTTTCTGTCTGCTGTAAAATTAATGTTATTAGGTGAAAGCAAATTATGTACTGGGATACAATTGGTAAGAGAATATGGTAGAATTGGTTAGTTAAATTTCAGTACAATGATTGGTTAAGGTATAGCTGAAAATATTACTATATAAATGGGATCAAACAGGAGGGGGAAAGGAAATTGGAATCATGTTTGTTAAGGGGGAAAAACAGGAACAAGGAATGGAGACACAGGCAAGGCTCTGTGGCGTCAGAGCTGGGAAGAGGGAGACGGGGAAAATGCTCTGCGGTATCAGAGCTGTCAACGGAACACTGGGGAACAGACTCTATCCCGTATAGAGATAAGGCCAATTGGTGTGAAGGGCTTCGGAATATGCCTTATCTGCGCTTCGAACGTCTGGTCTTTTTGCTGCTTGCTGTCTGCGTGACAAGAACCAGGGAAGTGGGAGGGTGAAGGGAAAGCCCTCTAACAAAACTGACATGACCTTATAAGCAACGGGTAAGCCTTTAAGGAAGGTTTTAATACACTTTGGAACTGATCAGGGATTCCCACGAGGACTGATGAGGGGGAGATGGTAAATACACATTTAGATCCTTTTCTTGTTATATATCTTTTCCCCAGAAGCCGCACTGGCATACTGTCATGGATCCACAGGATCTGTGCAATGCCCTGGCTTTTAAACAGTCCTTGGGAGGTGCCCCTTGAGTGCACTAGACCCCCAAGGGGTCCCATTCTTCCACAAGGATAGGCCACGTAGCTTCAACACCTGAGATTGAGCCTCTGGCTTCTCCATTTCAACCTGTGAGCTCTGCCCAGCAGGTCCAGCTGAACGACACTCCTGGTCAGAGACTGTTCCTCAGTCAAAGAACAGAGCAAGTTTTTTTGTGACATTGGGCAGACTTTTAAAATATAACAGGGTTTATTGGTCAACTCAGTATTGGAAAGTCCTTAGATTAGCACAGGGAAGCAAAGAAGACAATATAGTCCAAACTGGCCAATGCCAATGCCCTGGAGCCCTGCTGCTGTAGAGGCCTGATACCTGACAGTGCATTCCTTGAGCAGACCGTGGAGGCAAGTCAAAGGCTCAGCTACCCCAGAACTATGACATCGCAAAAACACATTTTGGGGAATTAGGAAATCGAGTGACTCAAGTGTAATGTGAGGGAGAATTAAACTCCCCCAGTGTGTGGAAAAAGCTGGGGAATAAAACCCTAAAATTCAGGAGCAACAGCCTCTAATTCTTCTGGAAAAGGAGAATGTAAGAAACAAGAACTGGGCCAAGAAGCCTGGAAGGAAGACAGCTTCTGGCTGCTGTAGATGGGGAGAGAGGGGACAAGACTCTCTACAAACTCTCACTCTTGTTGACCCCGACCTGATTTTATGATCTATGACCCAGGGTATGTCTACACTACGGGATTAATCCGAATTTATACAATTAGAATTTTGGAAACAGATTGTATAAAGTCGAATGTATGCAGCCACACTAAGCACATTAATTCGGTGGTGTGCGTCCATGTACCGGGGCTAGCGTCGATTTAAGGAGCGTTGCACTGTGGGTAACTATCCCATAGCTATCCTATAGTTCCTGCAGTTTCCTCTGCCCATTGGAATTCTGGGTTGAGATCCCACTGCCTGATGGGGTCAAAAAGATTTTCGCGGGTGGTTCTGGGTACATCCTCCTCCCTCTCCAGGGAAGCAACTGCAGACAACCGTTTCGTGCTTTTTTCCTGGGTAAACAGTGCAGACGCCATACCACGGCAAGCATGGAGCCTGTTCAGCTCAAGACAGCAGTCCTGAACATTGTAAACACCTCACGCGTTATCGTGCAGTTTATGCTGAACCAGAACCTGCAAAACCAGTCGGCGAGGAGTAGGCTACGGCAGGAAGAGTGATGAGGATATGGACATGAAATTCTATCAAACCGCGGGCCCCGGTGCTTTGGAGATCATGCTGTTAATGGGGCAGGTTATAGCCGTGGAACGCAGATTCTGGGCCCAGGAAACAAGCGCAGACTGGTGGGACCGCATAGTGTTGCGGGTGTGGGACGATTCCCAGTGGCTGCGAAACTTTCGCATGCGTAAGGGCACTTTCATGGAACTTTGTGACTTGCTTTCCCCTGCCCTGAAGCGCCAGAATACCAAGATGAGAGCAGAACTCACAGTTGAGAAGCGAGTGGCGATAGCCCTGTGGAAGCTTGCAATGCCAGACAGCTACCGGTCATTCGGGAATCAATTTAGAGTGGGCAAATCTACTGTGGGGGCTGCTGTGATGCAAGTAGCCAAAGCAATCACTGAGCTGCTGCTACGAAAGGAGTGACTCTGGGAAATGTGCATGTCATAGTGGATGGCTTTGTTGCAATGGGATTCCCTAACTGTGGTGGGGCGATAGATGGAACCCATATCTCTATCTTGGCACTGGAGCACCAGGGTACCCAGTACATAAACCGCAAGGGGTACTTTTCAATGGTGCTGCAAGCCCTTGTGGATCACAAGGGACGTTTCACCAACATCAACGTGGGCTGGCCGGGAAGGGTTCATGACGCTCATGTCTTCAGGAACACTACACTGTTTAAACGGCTGCAGCAAGGGATTTACTTCCCGGACCAGAAAATAACCGTTGGGGGATGTTGAAATGCCTATAGTTATCCTTGGGGACCCAGCCTACTCTGTAATGCCATGGCTAATGAAGCCATACACAGGCAGCCTGGACAGGAGTCAGGAGCTGTTCAACTACAGGCTGAGCAAGTGCAGAATGGTGGTAGAATGTGCATTTGGACGTTTAAAAGGTCGCTGGCGCTCGTTACTGACTCGCTCAGACCTCAGCCAAACCAATGTCCCCATTGTTATTGCTGCTTGCTGTGTGCTCCACAATCTCTGTGAAAGTAAGGGGGAGACCTTTATGGCGGGGTGGGAGGCTGAGGCAAATCGCCTGGCTGCTGATTATGCGCAGCCAGACACCAGGGCAATTAGAAGATCACACCAGGAAGCGCTGCGCATCAGAGAAGCTTTGAAAAACAGTTTCATGACTGACCAGGTTATGGTGTGAAAGTTCTGTTTGTTGAAAACCCGCCCCCTTGATTGACTCATTCCCTGTAAGCAAACCACCCTCCCCCCTTAAATCACAGCTTGCTTTTAAAGGAAATAAAGTCACTATCGTTTAAAAATCATGTATTCTTTATTATTTGATTATAAACATAGGGAGAGAACCGACAAGGTAACCTGGGTGAGGTTTGAGAGGAGGATAGGAGGGAAGTAAAAGGCCACTGAAAAAATTCAACATAATGACAGCCTTTTGCTTGGGCTGTCCACTGGGGTGGAGTGGGAGGGTGCACGGAGCCTCCCCCACCGCGTTCTTACACGTCTTGGTGAGGAGGCTATGGAACATGGTGAGGGGGGAGGGAGGTTATACAGCGGCTGCAGCGGCAGTCTGTTATCCTGCTGCCGTTCCTGAAGCTCCACCAGACACCGGAGCATGTCCGTTTGATTATGCTGCAGCCCAGCGTTGCAGCCTGCCACTTCTCATCTCGAGCGTCCCTCATGACCTCACGTTCACTGGCATCTTTCCTGTACTTAGATACCGTGTCCTTCCACTCATTCAAATGAGCTCTTTCATTGCGGGTGCATTCCATTACTTCCGAGAACATCTCGTCTCGCATCCTCTTTCTCCGCCGCCTTATCTGAGATAGACTTCGGGACGGAGGAGGGAGGCTTGAAAAATTTGCAGCTGCTGGAGGGATGAAAAAAAGGAGAGAAGTTTTTAAAATGATACATTTTACAGAACAATGCTTATACTCTTTCATGGTGACCAACACTATTCACATTACATAGCACATGTGATTTCAGTACAAGGTCGCATTTTCCATCTTAATATTGAGTGCCTGTGGCTTTGGTGTTAGAGATCACAGACGCAGGTCCGGGCAACAGAATTCGGATTGCGTGCGGCCATGGTAAGCCATTGTCTTTTGGCTTCTGCGCCCTCCTTTCCCACATAACAAGCAAAGTCCGCTGACTGTTGCGCTTTTCCTGTTAATTTTCAGCAGCAGAAAACAAACTAAAACCCGCCCCATCCAATTCTCTGGGATGATCACTTTATCCCTCCCCCCACCGCATGGCTGGTATCAGGGAAGATCCCTGCAGAACCAAACTAACCCCCCGCCCCCATGAATTATTTGGGATGATCGCTGTACCCCTCCCCCCACCGCGTGGCTGGTATCAGGGAAGATCCCTGCTAGCCAAAGGCGAAAAGCTCAGCGCCAATTCACCCTCCTCCCCCCTCCCCCCCCGGCCACGCTTGGCTAACTGCAGGGAAGGATTTCTTTTCAGCCACAGGCAAACAGCCCTGTAGGAACGGCCACCTCTGTCCCCTTAATTAAATTCCCGTATTTCAACCAGGTTACCATGAGCGATATCACTCTCCTGAGGATTACACAGCGAGATAAAGAACGGATGTTGCTTGAATGCCAGCAAACACCGGCACCATATGCTGCCAGGCTTTGTCATGTAATGATACCAGACTACTTGCTACTAGCATGGCGTGGTCAAGTGTCCTATCATGGAGGACGTAATAAGGCTGCACTGCCCAGAAACCTTCTGCAAAGGCTTTTGGAGTACCTCCAGGAGAGCGTCATGGAGATGTCCCTGGAGGATTTCCGCTCCGTCCCCAGACACGTTAACAGACTTTTCCAGTAGCTGTACTGGCCGCGAATGCATCCCAAGTCCTCAGGGCAAAGTAATCATTAAAAAACGCTTGCTTTTAAACCATGTTTTATATTTTAAAAGGTAAACTCACCTGAGGTCCATTCCATTGGATCATGGTCTTGGGTACTGGTTTGGGAGGGTACTTCAGTCAGGTTGAGAAAAAGATCCTGGCTGTTGGGGAGAACGGAGTGCTGTGTGCTCTCCGCAAGCTCGTCCTCCTCCTCCTTCTCCTCGTCCGCAGATTCCTTAGGTGTGGCTGATGAGATTACCCCTGCCTCGGAATCCACAGTCAGAGGTGGGGTAGTGGTGGGGGCCTCCCCCTAGAATTGCATGCAGCTCAGCGTAGAAGCGGTATGTCTGCGGCTCTGACCCGGAGCGACCGTTTGCCTCCTTTGTTTTCTGGTAGGCTTGTCTGATCTTCTTGACTTTCACGTGGCACTGATCTGAGTCCCCATTGTGGCGTCTCTGCACCATGCCCTTGGAGATTTTTTCAGAAGTTTTGGCATTTCGTCTTTTCGAACGAAGTTCTGCTAGCACTGAATCCTCTCCCCATATAGCAATCAAATCCAGTACCTCCCGTACGGTCCACGCTGGTGCTCTTTTTCGATTATCGGCCTGCATGGTTATCTGTGTCGATGAGCTCTCCGTGGTCACCTATGTTCTCCTGTGCTGGGCAAACAGGAAATGAAATTCAAATGTTCGTGGGGCTTTTCCTGTCTACCTGGCCAGTGCATCAGAGTTCAGATTGCTGTCCAGAGGAGTCACAATGGTGCACTGTGGGATAGCTCCCGGAGGCCAATCCCATCAAATTGCGGCCACACTAACCCTAATTCGAAATGACAATATCGATTTTGGCGCTACTCCGCTCGTCGGGCAGGAGTACAGAAATCGATTTGAAGAGCCCTTTATTTCAAAATAAATGGCTTCGTTGTGTGGACGGGTGTAGGGTTAATTTGATTTAACGCTGCTAAATTCGAATTAAACTCATAGTGTAGACCAGGCCCTAGTCTCATGTCTTGTGGGCAATTTTATACTCGCTAGAGGTAAAAATGCCATTATCACAGTATTGCTTATTAGCTTGGAACATGCGTGGAGGGGCAAGGAGGTGAACATAAATAAATAGGTTATTAAGGGCAGGTCTACACTACAGCCGGGATCGACGCTCTGAGATTGATCCACCGGTGGTCGATTTAGCGGGTCTAATAAAGACCTGCCAAATCGACTGCAAATCGCTCTCCAGTTCTCTACTCCTGACTCTACCCCTGAAGCTCTCCCGTCGACCCCCCACAGTGTACACCCTGCTGGAACTCGACCTAAGGTACATCCACTCCAGCTGTTATTCTTGTAGCTGGAGTTGCGTAGTGCAGGTTGACTGGCCGCGGTAGTGTAAACGTAGCCTAAGCTTGCTACAGTTCAGGGCCTTATATTAAGTTGAGGCTTTGTGGGAGTAGTTATGCTGAAGTTTAGGATTTACCTGAGGCTTGGGCAGGGATTTGGGGTTAAGGGTCTGGGATCCCCCACAGCTCTAGATCCCTAAACCTCTCCTCCCTCCCACTGACCCACCCAGCTCACTTCCTGGGTGCCCTCCCTCCACACTCCCCTCCCCTTCGTCCCATTACTCTCATCCATCACCACCTCCCGGCACCCTGGGAGCTTCTTGTCTTCCCTCCTAGTCTCTCACTACCTCATCCCTCCCTGCTGATTCTTAGCTCAAATCCTGCACACACCCTCCCCATGTCCTGGCACCCCAGAATTATCTACTCCCACATTCTCCTCCCCTCCCAAAGCTCTGTTCTCCCTTCACCCATGGGGTCCTGAATGGCAACATGATACGCTCTCCTAGCAAAAGAGGAGCTCATCTGACTCATTTGGGGGGAGGAATAGCTCAGGGGTTTGAGCATTGGCCTGCTAAACCCAGGGTTGAGAGTTCAATCCTGGAGGGGGCCACTTAGGGATTTGGGGCAAAATCAGTACTTGGTCCTCCTAGTAAAGGCAAGGGGCTGGACTCAATGACCTTTCAAGGTCCCTTCCAGTTCTAGGAGATAGGACATCTCCATTAATTTATTTAATTTACTGTCACACAAGCCATGCATGAGTCATATACCTATTTACTTAATTTAGAATTCTACAGGCAGCATATTTTCCTCTTAAAATGAGGAAAAGGCATGAAAGCTAAAGTTATTAATGTAGTTATTAATGTAGCCAACAAGGATACCTTAAATGCAATTTTAAAATGACTGACGGCACCAAAAAGGCACATGGGCAAAAATTATACTAGTGTATGGGAGATAAGGCAAAAAAGGGGGGGCAGGGAAACTTGTCAAAACTTGTATGACGAATAAAAGTATATAGTTATTACTACTCTGGTTCTTTAGAGACCCCGCAGCTTCTAATAACCCAGGGGACAGGACTCCTTACCCAGCAAGACCACCGTTGCATAGTTCTCCTGCATGACATCCCTGTAGAGGGCTCTCTGAGTGGGGTCCAGCAGAGGCCATTCCCCCTTGGTGAAATACACAGCCACCTCCTCGAAAGTCACCAACCCCTGAAAGAGAAAGAGTCCAACACTCAGTACTTGCTGCACCACTCACAACCCCACTATTCACGGAACAGCAGCGCCAAGTAAATGAAAATTCTGGGAGGCACATGTTAACAGAGTCCCACCCCACCTTGTTTAGAGCAGCCAGGAGGCATCAGAGAGTAGAAAGAGAAACCTTTGTCTCTCCCAGCTGACAGATGGAGGCAGGGTCTTCACATTTATCACATGCGTAATAGCCAGAGCTTGATATAGGAGATGGGGCTGTCTCTGGACCCTGCTGGTGGCTCCCTGGTAGGAATACCAACATTCTTCAAATAAAGTATATGGAAGAAAGGGAAGTCAATAGTAAAGAATATAAGTTAGAAGGTCAGAATTGTATAAAATTGGTAAGGGAAGCTATCAGAAATCAATGAAAATAAGAAGGAAGTTTTAAAAAGTATATTAAGTACAAAATGAATCCTAACAATGGTAGTGGTAAATTACTAGATGGAAATGGAGAATTATCAAAAATAATGCAGAAGAGGTAAAAGTGTTCAATAAATATTTCTCTCCTGGATTTGGAGAAAAACAGATGATGTAACTCATATCATAAGATGTTGACGCCAACAGTTTTTCCATTCCAACAGTAAATAACAAGGACGTTAAACAACAGCTATTAAAGTTAGACGTGTTTAAATCAGTGGGTCCAGATAACTAGAGTTTTGAAAGACCTGGTGGAGGAGTGTGGTGGACTGTTAATGTTGATTTTAATTATGACTTGGAACACTGGGGAAATTCCATAAGACAGGAATAAAGCTAATGCTATGCCAATATTTAAAAAGTATAAAAGAGATGACGCAGCTAATTACAAGAGTGTTAGTCAGAAATCGATACTGGGCAAGAGAATTGAGCAGCCGATACTGGACTTCATTAATAAAGAATTAAAGGGGGGTAATATCATTAGTACCCGTTAACAAAAGTGTAGACACAATAGATCCTATCAAACTAACTGGATATCCTTATTGGATGAGATCAAAAGTTTGGTTGCAGCTAATAGTACTGATGTAATATACCTAGACTTCTGTAAGGTATATGAGTTGGTTCAGCACAATATTTTGACTAGAAAGATACAAAACACACACGGCATACATTAAATAGATTAAAAACTGTGATTGTAAATGGGGAACCATGGTCGAGTGGATTTCTTTCTAGGGGGTTCCCACAAGGATTGGTTCTTGGCTCTGTGCTATTTAACATTCTTATCAATGACCTAGAAGAGACTACAAGATCATCACTTATAAAGTTTGCAGTTGCCACAAAGATTGGGAGTGGTGGTAACTAATGAAGTGTCATTTTGGTACCTGTATTTTTCCACTAACTGGACTGGAAACTGAGTTTGGAACAAAGGATTCCCGCTATGTGGTAAAGCTACATAAGGTGGGGTGTGACATTTTCTCTTGGCCTCATTCCCCACACAAGAGAACTCCTGGAAGCACCTGAGGAACAAAGACTGAACTGGGGGAAGTGTTGGTCCCAGGGTAAAGGGATTTCCAGCTTGCGTATGGAAACTTGGTGGACTGCTTCAATCATCAGTCAGAGTGAGAAATTGCTAATTCAAATTCTATCCATCTAGTACAGGGGCAGGCAAACTTTTTGGCCTGAGGACCGCATCGGGTTTTGGAAATTGTATGGAGGACCGGTTCGGGGAGGGGGGAGTGGCCCAGCCCCCACTCCCTATCTGCCCCCTCCCACTTCTCACCCCTGACAGCCCATCCCCAGGACTCCTGTCTCATCCAACACCCCCTGTTCCCCGATGTCCCCCTGGGACCCCTGCCCCATCCACCCCCCTGCTCCCTGTTCCATGACCGCTCCCAGAACCCCCACCCCTGACTGCCCCTGCCACCCCAGCCAACCCCCCCTCCTTCCTAACAGCCCCCCCAGAGACCTACCCCCATTCAACCCTCCCTATTCCCCACCTTCTGACTGCCCTGACCCCTATCCACACCCCCGCCCCCCGAACAACACCCTGAACTCTCCTGCCCTCTATCCAACCCCCCCCCGCTCCTTGCCTCCTTACCGCAGTGCCTGGAACACCGGTGGCTAGCGGTGCTACAGCCGCACACTGTGCAGCATAGAGCACCGGGTCAGGCCGGACTCTGTAGCGGCACTGCCCCAGGAGCTCGCAGCCCCGCCACCCCGAGCATTGCGCTGGCAGAGGGGTGAGCTGAGGCTGTGGGGGAGGGGGAACAGGAGGAAAGGGTCTGGGGGCTAGCCTCCCGGGCCAGGAGCTCAGGGGCCGGGCAGGAGAATCCCGCGAGCCGGATGTGGACCGTGGGCCATAGTTTCCCCACCTCAGATCTAGTATGGCTTAGTTTGAGTTTTTGGTTATTTGCTAAGTAATCTGCTTTGATCTATTTGCTATCACTTATCGCTGGGAAATTGGCTGATGGCTTCTATCTGTCCCTGAGTGGCTTAGGTAAAGCACTCAGGTAGCTTAGTTGAGTGTATGGCACCACCTGCTCTCGTGTTGGGTGATAACAAGGCCTGGAGAGGCTGGCTGAATCTCCAGCAAAGCAGTGTGAGAAGGGCCAGCCCAGCTTGAGGGTTAGAGGGCACAGTGGTTCCCAGAAGCCCCTCAGACTGCACCCCAGAGTGACAACCCATTACACCCTAGATTACACAAGTCTCAGCATGTTTGTCACATTCTGTCCCCTCCCTTTCTCCACCCTACATAGTTCCTGCCTCCCACCACCTCGAGCAGCTCCCACCCTCCTATGCATTTACTGCTCCTCTCCCTCCAAGCAGAACCCATCACCAGCTCCCTGATAATCCCTTACCTGAGCCAGCTCCATTGCAGCCATTTCCTTCCCGCTGGGAGGAGGGGATGATCTGGAGCGAAATGTGGACATTATTCTGTAGCCTGCCAGGGCAAGAAGGGCAATGTGAGAGCATTCAGATGGGGCTTTTGTCCATTCCACAAGCCGATTCCCCCTGGATTTTTTCCTGCTAATGCACATTCTAGGTTCTGCCACACAGCGAAGCACAGAGTGACCTTATTCCAGTACAGGCCTAGCCCCCACCCACAAGGGTGTAACCCTCTGAGATATGGTGAAACCCTCCCAGTAGCATTTATCAACTTTGCGGAGGATACCAAGCTGGGAGGAGTTCCAAGTGCTTTGGAGGATAGAATTAAAATTCTAAATGACATGGACAAACTGGAGAAATCGTCTGAAGTATATAGGATGAAATTCAATAAGGACAAATCCAAAGTAATTCACTTGGGAAGGAACAATCAGTTGTACACATACAAAATGGGAAACGACTGCCTAGGAAGGAGTACTGTGGAAATGTATCTGGGGGTCGCAATGGATCACAAGCTAAATATGAGTCAACAGAATTACACTGTTGCAAAAAAAAAAAAAGCAAGTATCATTCTGGGATATATTTGTAGGAGTATTTTAAGCAAGACATGAGAAGTAATTATTCAACTCTACACCGCGCTTATTAGGCTTCAACTGTAATAGTGTGTCCAGTTCTGGGCGCCACATTTCAGGAAAGATGTGGACAAATTGGAGGAAGTCCAGAGAAGAGCAACAAAAATGATGAAAGGTCTAGAAAACAAGACCCATGAGTGAAGATTGAAAAAATTGTGTTTGTTTAGTCTGGAGAAGAGAAGATTGAGAGGGGACATGATCACAGTTTTCAAGTACATAAAAGGTTGTTGGAAGGAGGAGGGAGAAAAACTGTTCTTTTTAACCTCTGAGGATAAGACAAGAAGCAATGGGCTTAAATTGCAGCAAGGGCGGTTTAGGTCGGACATTAGGAAAAACTTGCTAACTGTCAGAGTGGTTAAGCACTGGAATAAATTGCCTAAGGAGGTTGTGGAATCTCCATCATTGGGGATTTTTAAGAGCAGGTTGGACAAACACTTCTCAGGGATGGTCTAGATAATACTTAGTCCTGCCTTGAGTGCAGGGGACAGGACTAGATGACCTCTTGAGGTCTCTTCCAGTTCTATGATTCTATGAACCAAAGGCCAGAGAAGAGCAGAATCAAAGGAGTCACTTTGGGGAATTCTCCCTGTCATTGTCCCCAAGGCAACTGTCTCAGATTTACTAAGTTGTTTGATGTTCCAGCCTTTATACAGTCTCTCCTGGGAGTGCCCCCTTTCATGGGCTGGGCCTAGTTTTAGCTTTTGGCAAGCGTGACCCTGGGGGCTCTGAGACTGGGCCTCCTTGTCTCAGCACACTTTGTTTCTTTCTGTGGCTCCCCAGTGAGTACAGATGAGTAGATACTCCTGATAGAGACTGTGAACATAAGAATGGCCCACTGTGTCAGATCAATGGTCCATCTAGCTCAGTGGCCAATGCCAGGTGCTTCAGAGGGAATGAAGAGAACAGGTAATCATCAAGTGATCCATCCCCTGTCACCCTTTACCAGCTTCTGGCAAACTGAAGCCAGAGACACCATCCCTGCCCATCCTGCCTGTGACACTGGCAGATGAGGTGTTAGCTCTTGTAAAAGCCCCCATGTCTTATTTGAACATGGACAAATGCATAGCTGGAATCATTCTGACTCACCAGTGTTAGTATTGTTAAAACGGGTATTAGAATGACAAGAATGTGTTTAGACTTTATTGAATGCTTTATTGAGTTGCTGCCTGGGTTAATATCTGACTAGTTGCATTGTGAGCCTCTGTGGCTATTTAAATCACCAGACAGGGGAGAGACTTTAGCTAGGGGAAGTGCTGATTGGCAACAGAATGCATTACACCCTGCCTGGCAGGAGAGGTCTGTCAACACCAGATAGACTATAATGGGATGTTAAAGAAGACAAAAGACTGTTGTGCTCTTGACCTCCCATTAACTGAGTTTCCAGCTCAGAGCACATGGCAGGAAGGGGATAAAAAACCCCATACAGAAGGAACTGATTATCTGTATGCTGCTTGGACTCTGGGGGAAAAAGTTTCTAGGCATAAGCAGGAGATCCCCAGCTGCTTAGCATGCATTAGTCCTAAAGAATATGTAGTGCTTGCTTATTATAGAAGCTTCTATTACCTTTTGAAATTTAAGACTGTAACTCATCTGCATCTGCTTTAACCTGCTTTAACTTTGTAAACAACTCTCGTTTCTTTTAAATCTTAATACAGTTACGACAGGACTGGCTACAAGTGTTGTCTTTGTTGTGAGATCTAAGATTCAATTGACCTAATAAGTGACTGGTCCTTTGGGACTGGCAGTAACCTGAACATTGCTGTGATTCATGGTGTAAGGCAGTCGTTCTCAATCAGGAGTCTGGGGCTCCCTGGGGGGCCACAAGCAGTTATCAGGGGGCTGCCAAGCAAGTCCAGCATTAGACTTGCCGAGGCCCAGGGCAGAAAACTGAAGTCCCAGCGCATGGGGCTGAAGTCTAGGCCCCTGAGCCCCACCACCCAGGGCTGAAGCCAAAGCCTAAGCAATGTAGCGTTGTGGGTGCCCCTGTGGCATGGGGCCAAAGGCAGTTGGCCTGCTTGCTACCCCCTAATGCCAGCGTTGGATTTTGTATGCAGAAAACCAGTTATTGTGGCCCATGTGGGCTGTGGAGTTTTTATAGTATGTTGGGGCGGGGCCTCAGAAAGAAAAAGGTTGAGAACCCCCAGAGTAAGGGGCAATCTGTCACAAAGGTGAGCTCACCTGTGTGGTGAGATATATGGGATGACCCAAGGGGACGGTCTGTGATTCCACGTTAATGCTGTTACAGTGCCTGAAGCATTTACACTGGATATTTGGTTGGTGAAATCTACATATAGACCTCACAACCAATTCGGGGTTTGTTCCCTGCTTCTTACCAGTCTGCTTGAGGCTGGTGCTCATGCCATAGAGTCACTGAAGACAGCGTTACAGAGACTTACGGGCACAACGCCACCAGCAGCAATTGGCAGCAATGCAGAGCAGGCTTTACAGTGACACAGCGTGGGCCAAATGGTCTCTGGACTCAGTCTTGCCCCAGTTCTCCGCCAGTTCACGTCAGCATCCCGGCAACCTTCAAGGAGGGTCAAGGCTGCCACTCCTTCAGTGATGATGGATCTCCAGCATAGCATCACCCACGCCCCATGACCCGCCTTGTCTCCTGAGACAGAGGTGAGTGACAGAGGGTGTATAACGGATCCTAGGGGGTAGGGAAAAGGATAACAAAACACACCTTCTGGGGTCACCGCTCAGGAAGTGAAGGTGACAGGCATTGTGGTGGCAGTAAAGGGGGAGGAGAGAGAGGGGGAGCAGCACCCTCAAAGGCAATGCTGCCAGTGGGTCACCCCACCACATCAGGCATGGGATTGATAGGGGGCCATTCCCTGTGCGCCTGTGAAGGGCTACATAAACTGCACACTGGCACAGAAGGGGTTAAACTGCTGCTTTAGTCTGGACTGGTCCAGCCCCTTCACACCTGCAAACCATGCCAGGACTAGAGCAGGCGTTAACAGGAGAGACCTACTCTACTCACAAAACTATCCCTCCTGCATGCGTATTATCTGTGCACACAGCTCAGCTTTAAGATGCTGAAGAAATCTATGAGTCAAGTAGAAATTCTCATGCTCTCATCGCATATATTAATACAATATTTTCTGATACTGGAAAGGAGAGTAAAAGCTATTCACTCCGGCTTATACCATTTCTATGGGATGTCAATTCTTAATTTAATGAATAATTCACACACATAGAATAGTAAAAATAAGTAATAAAGCAACACAGACAGCAAACAAAACCACAAACAAACAAGTGACAACACTGAACTTATGAAGGGAAGTAAAACATCAACTGGTTGGTGGTGGTTATTTTAAATGAGTGTTTAGGACCCAACGCTGTGCAAGTGCAACAGAGCCCTGTAGAAACAGGCAAAGTTCTCCTGTTCTCACATTGTGTGTGTGTGTGTGTCACCAACTCAAAAACTCAGCGTAGAAGCCCTGGAGCACATTGACACATGGCTTTGGAGTTTGCAGACAGATCCCTGCTTCAAAGAGCTTGCAAATAAGATCTTCATCCTACAAAAAACCTAGCACCACACCTACTGCTTGCTACTTCTGAGTCAATAGGAGTACTCGGAAGAGCGGGAACTATACCAGATAGCAAAGATCTGGCCTTAATGGTTTCCAATACCTCTCCCCAAACAAATTCTAAAACTTAATGGAAATCACTTGTCTGGAATCCAACTCTAATTGAAAGGCCAAACAACTAAGCAGCACCCATGGTAAAATTCTTCCAGTTTTAACTATTTACCTTCTACTGATTAGTAACACAGGACATTTAAAAAAAAAAATCATTAAGATCATAGTTTTCAGATACCTACAACACTCCAAAAGAATTATGTTGTTAAAAGAATCCTGGTCTTTGGCCTGGTCTACACTATGAGTTTAATTCGAATTTAGCAGCGTTAAATCGAATTAACCCTGCACCCGTCCACACAACGAAGCCATTTATTTCGAAATAAAGGGCTCTTCAAATCGATTTCTGTACTCCTCCCTGACAATCGGAGTAGCGCCAAAATCAATATTGTCATTTCAAATTAGGGTTAGTGTGGCCGCAATTCGATGGTATTGGCCTCCGGGAGCTATCCCACAGTGCACCATTGTGAAAGCTCTGGACAGCAATCTGAACTTGGATGCACTGGCCAGGTAGACAGGAAAAGCCCCGCGAACATTTGAATTTTATTTCCTGTTTGACCAGCGTGGAGAGCACAGGTGACCACAGATAGCTCATCAGCACAGATAACCATGCAGGCGATAATCAAAAAAGAGCACCAGCATGGACCATACGGGAGGTACTGAATCTGATCGCTATATGGGGAGAGGATTCAGTGCTAGCAGAACTTCATTCTAAAAGACGAAATGCCAAAACTTTTGAAAAAATCTCCAAGGGCATGATGGAGAGAGGCCACAATAGGGACTCAGAGCAGTGCTACGTGAAAGTCAAGGAGATCAGACAAGCCTATCAGAAAACAAAGGAGGCAAACGGTCGCTCCCGGTCAGAGCCGCAGACATACCGCTTCTACACTGAGCTGCATGCAATTCTGGGGGCAGGGAGGGCCGCCACCACTACCCCACCTCTGACCGTGGATTCCAAGACAGGGGTAATCTCATCAGCCACACCTGAGGATTTTGTGGAAGGGGACGAGGAGGAGAAGGAGGAGGAGGAGGACGAGCTTGCGGAGAGCACACAGCACTCCGTTCTCCCCAACAGCCAGGATCTTTTTCTCAGTCTGACTGAAGTACCCTCCCAAGTCAGTATCCAAAACCATGACCCAATGGAAGGGACCTCAGGTGAGTTTACCTTTTAAAATATAAAACATGGTTTAAAAGCAAGCGTTTTTTAATGATTACTTGGTCCTGAGGACTTGGGATGCATTCGCGGCCAGTACACATACTGGAAAAGTCTGTTAACGTGTCTGGGGATGGAGCGAAAATCCTCCAGGGACATCTCCATGAAGCTCTCCTGGAGGTACTCCAAAAGTCTTTGCAGAAGGTTTCAGGGCAGTGCAGCCTTATTCCGTCCTCCATGGTAGGACACTTGACCACGCCATGCTAGTAGCAAGTAATCTGGTATCATTGCATGACAAAGCCTGGCAGCGTATGGTCCCGGTGTTTGCTGGCATTCAAGGAGAGTGATATCGCTCATGGTAACCTCGTTGAAATACGGGAATTTAATTAAGGGGACAGAGGTGGCCGTTCCTACTGGGCTGTTTGCCTGTGGCTGAAAAGAAATCCTTCCCTGCAGTTAGCCAAGCGTGGGGGGAGGAATTGGCCCTGAGCTTTTCACGTTTGGCTAGCAGGGATCTTCCCTGATAGCAGCCACGCGGTGGGGGTAGGGATAAAGCGATCATCCAGAGAATTGGATGGGGGGGGGGGTGGTTAGATTGTTTTCTGCTGCTGAAAGTTAACAGGAAAACCGCAGCACTCAACGGGCTTTGCTTAGTATGTGGGAAAGGAGGGCGCAGAAGCTGAAAGACAATGGCTTACCATGGCCACATGCAAGCCGAATTCTGTTGCCTGGACCTGCATCTGTGATCTCTAGCAGCAAAGCCACAGGCACTCAATATTAAGAGGCAAAATGCGACCTTGCACAGAAATCACATGTGCTATGTAATGTGAATAGTGTTGGTCACCGTGAAAGAGTATAAGCATTGTTCTGTAAAATGTAGCTTTTAAAAAAATTCTCTGCTTTTTTCCTTCCCTCCAGCAGCTGCAAATTTTTCAAGCCTCCCTCCTCCGTCCCGAAGGCTATCTCAGATAAGGCATCAGAAAAAGAGGTCGCGAGATGAGATGTTCGCGGAAATCATGGAATCCACCCGCAGTGAAAGAGCTCATCTGAATGAGTGGAAGGACACAGTTTCAAAGTAAAGGAAAGATGCCAGTGAATGTGAGGACAGGAGGGACCAATGTGAGGACATGAGGGACCAACGTGAGGACAGCAGAGACGCTCGAGATGAGAGGTGGCGGCAGGAAGATCAGAGGAGGCAGGATGCATCACTGGGGCTGCTGCATGAGCAAACAGACATGCTCCAGCGTCTCGTGGAGCTTCAGGAAAGGCAGCAGGATAACAGAGTGCCGCTGCAGCCCCTGTATAATCCCCCTCCCCACTCATGTTCCATAGCCTCCTCACCCAGACGTGTAAGAACATACCGTAGAAGGCCCTGGCCCTGCCACGCATCTCCTCCGGATCCGTGAGGGGGACGCCGTCCTCCTCCAGGAGACAGGTGACATGCTTTTTGGCCCCCCTCCTTTTCTCCAGGGCGTAGAAGAAGCGGGAGACGGATGTGGGATCGAACGAACGCGCCCCGGGCCCGGTGGTCTTCCAGGGCCCGGAGCTCCTCCCGTTTCTCCCGGTACGCCGCGCAGAGGGGTTGATCCGCAGGGCCGGAGGCCAGACGCCTCTCCAGCTCCAAGACCTCCCGCTCCAACTGCCCTATCAACGCATCCCTCCGCCGGCTGGCGCCCCAGGCGTAGTTCCGGCAAAAGAGCTGCGCGCGGACCTTCCCCACGTCCCGCCACCGCCGCGCAGAGGGAAAGGCGCGCCGCTGCCCCCACCAGGCCAGCCAGAAGGGACCGGAAGGAAGCCACGAAGCCCACGTCCTCCAGCAAACTATTATTAAAATGCCAATAGGCCGGCCCCGGCCGCTCAGAACTGAGAGAGGCCGTCACGGTCACCAGATGGTGATCCGAGAACGGGGCCGGCCGGACGCTGGAGGCATGGGCCCGGGCCAGATGAAAATGGGACAGATAGAGTCGGTCCAACCGGGAGTGGCGCGACCGGTCGTCCTCCACCCGGACATAGGTGAAGGTGGTATCGTCATCCGGGTGGTGTTCGCGCCAGACGTCCACCAGGGAGTGATGGTCTACCATCTCCCTGAGGACGCCCGCGGCTGCCTGGGAATTTTCAAGCCCGGAGCGGTCCCGGTCCTCGAGGGTGGTGTTAAAGTCCCCGCCCAGGACCAGGCACTCGCGAGAATCCAGAGTGCCGAGGAAGGCCGCCGCCCGCTGATAGAAAGGCACTCGTTCCAGGCCCGCGTTCGGGGCATAAACGTTGACCAAGTTCAGAACCAGCCCCTCCACACGGGCCCGGACGGGCAGCAGGCGGCCCGGCACGACCTCGGCGACCCCCAGCACCTCAGGCCGCAGCCCCGGGGAGAACAGGGTGGCCACCCCAGCCGAATGGGCGCTGAGGTGGCTAAAATAAACCCCGTCTCCCCACTCCAGCCGCCAGCTAGCCTCGACGGCCGGAGCCGTGTGGGTCTCCTGCAGGAAAATCACAGAGTACCCCCCCTCCCGAAGGAAGGAGAGCACCTGGCTCCTGCGGAGACCCACCCTACAGCCCCGAGTGTTCAGCGAGGCAAAGGTGGTAACTGTCATGCGGAGGGCTGGGGCAGATCCTCACGGGCGGAGGGACCATCGGCCCCCAGTGGGCCCCGCAAGATCCCGGTTTCGACTCCGAAGGTCAAAAGGGAGTCGCGGAATCTGCGGGCCCGCCGATAGGCCGCGATGTCCCGCCGACCGGACC